GGAAGTGTGTAAATAGACTTGTTACAATATCCATAACCAATGTTTACTTCTGGCTGTCTGGCTGGTTTTGGAAATACAGATACAGTCAACGTGTAGTGTAAAATTGTGCTTCATTAGAGGTTGAAATTCCTGTAAATGTATATAGTAGGACCTTTATACATTATTCTTAATTTGTTTATGTTAGTGGATATCCTCCTCTCCCCCAAGGTACCCCTCTGTCAGTGTTGGCTCTACATATTCGTCACTGCCTTATATTGCTTCTTAATTTTTGAAAACCATGAGAAACTTACCCAAAATAACCTCTTGTAATTTTAAAGTTTCTCGTAACTATTTTTCTCTTTTTTTTTTGAGGGGGGTAGTGGGGGCATGGTAATATGTCCTGGAAACTTATAATCTGGTATGATATTAAGCCTCGTGTGTGTATATTTGAGGAAGGTGTAGCTGGGTGGAGTGTAGTGAACGTGTACTCATGAGTAAGGTGTAGTTCTCCAGGAGGATGACTGTAGGCCGCGTGTCGGACTAACACAACCAGAAAGAATTTAACAGTGGTATTAGAAGATGAGCTACTGGGCCAGGATTCATAAAAAAAAATCGTGGGTATATTTTTTGTTTGGGTAGACGATGAGATATTGTACCAACTTAGTGTAGTCCCGTTGCAGTGTCGAGGCTACAGTATTCTTGTTACCGTCTTTGTTTCCTCGGTTGGTTGGTCCAGTTAGTTAGACGGTGTACCTGTATGTACCTCAACACTATAGCTAGAGGGAAACTTGGGGCCGAACGAACACCTTGAGAATCTGAACCATTCCTCTTAATGATACTCGCTTGTGCATTATTTTCGTATTTTGGGCTGTTGTATGTTTCAGTGCATACAAGATAGATAAATAGATAGAAACACAAGTACATAGAATGATAGATAGATTATTTTAAACCCAGGTTAATGAATAAATCCGCCTTGAAAATTCTGACGCTGCACTTGTAAGGAATTAAAGGGTCATATCGGGGCGGCACACACACACACACACACACACACACACACACACACACACACACACACACACACACACACACACACTGGTTCCTAAGAGGGCATCGTACCCACTTTGAACTCCAGATGTGACCCGGCAAATTACTGGTGGGACTGACCAGAGGATGAGGGCTTCTTGAGTCTCTTGACCGCTGTATAAAGGAGGCTGGAGTTCCTTATATTCCCCCGAGCATTGATGCCACGTCCGCCACCCGCATCCTTTAAGTAGTTCATTGTTCTGTCATTAACTCCCTCTTAACAGTCTTTAACCTATTCCAGCCATCTTTAAGTGAGTCATTACAGCTATATTTGATTAACTACCTATAGTATAAAATATTAACCTCGAGCCTAGCTTAACTTAATCTAACTGGTGTGTCATTTATTTTTTACATTTTATCAAAGAAAACCATTTATCTTTAATACCTTTTAAAAACTTGCAATGTGTACGTAATTGGTGTATAGTTTTGCCACCAATGTTTCTTAATAATAAAGGTGGAAAGTTTTGTTACAGAGGTTTATTAAGTCTTACGTAAGTTTAGTTTCCACAATTACCAGAATAACGAGGAAACATTTGATTCTCCTTGACTTCAGTAGCTATTCTTGCTAAATCCAAGTAATAAAGACTTCATACTACAGTTTGGTGAGAAATCACTTTGCAGACGTAACAAATTGCGTAGCGGGTGTAACAATGCGTAAAACCACGTCCGCTTCAGCAGTCAAAATGATTATCAAGTTTTCCCATCAGCTGGAAACAACTATGGAGATGTATAGAACTGTTAGGCTAATCCTCTTGCTGGGACTGTCCTTATGTGACTCACCGGAGTTCTCTTAGAGGACCTCACTGGTGCTATCCTTAAGTAACAAACTAGTGACTCTCTCTCTCTCTCTCTCTCTCTCTCTCTCGTGTGTGCGTGTGTAATAGAGCCCCACATTCTATCTAGGTCTGAAGGTCAAAGCCGGGATATAATCCTTTGGTAATAGGGAATAACACGTACGGGACAGCTGGACGCACACACACGGCCCGAAGCTGTATGTACAGTATATTGTGTCCGTCAACTCCCTGCCCAGGTATGAGACGTGCTGTTATGTCACGAAGGCCTTCATTAATACGTGTTGTGTTGTGCTGTGCTGTATTGTGTTGTGCTGTGTTGTGTTGTGCTGTGTTGTGTCGTGTCCCAGGTGTTAGTATACTCCTCGAGGACCCAGGTTCACTTCTCTTAGTAACTTGCATGAGTGTGCTTTTCGGGTTCTCGTCATGGTGTGTTTCGTGTGTGCTCCTTGGAGACCCCTGGACCACAAGGGCGGCGGGGGAAGGAAAGGCGGAAGGGGTGAACCTCGAGTCAAGGGTGAGACATCGACTCTGTATCCCCTCCCTCCTTTAACCCTCCTCTTCCTTCCCCCCTTCATCCCCTCCTCTTCCTTCCCACTCCCATGCGCCTCCTCGGGTAGGTAGTAGAAGAGGGAAGGTGTTCATCCTCACCTACTTACCCCGCGCTAGGTGTTGAGTTTGGTCATCAGTTCGTGGTTGTGTTAACTTCAAGTATCGTTCCGGGGTGATCATAACAACATCATTATTTTGTTGTTTGAAAATAAATGAATACCGGTACGTGCAGGAGAGCGAGTACCCCGTCCAGTGAATGGTGTATAATAATTCTTTGTAAAACTAAAACACTTCTTACTGGTTTATGTGTTGGGGGGATTTGGCCGTGATTTACTATGATACTGACCTACCCCAGCCAGGTCAGGTCAGGTCAGGACGCTTATACTATATTGTGTTCATATGTAAACACGGAAATATCGTAGTTAATGTATGGTGGTTTACGTTACTGGTCATTACTCTTGTTATCCACCAGTGTCCAGGTCTACACAAGGTCTGTACGATTAGTCTTCCTTTTATATGAAGATTTAAACTACAGCACAAAAACGTCTAAAAATAACACCTTAATTACATCCACACTGTACTGTATCTACAAAATTTTGCCTCTGGACGTATCTAATTTAGTTCTCATTTTGTGACGTCATTTTTATACGTATTTTTTTTTCTGAAGCTTAAGCCTCAGTCAAACATCTTATGAGTCTTTGTGAGTCTGGTCCCTGAGCCTCGGTACTGACTGTTAATGCATTACCTTATCACATTATTCTCATCCGGTTTGATTGATTCGTCTTGTGTCATTATTTGCACTGTAATAATAATACATATACCGTATACGTGTTAATTACTATGTTAATATTTTTACCTTTTAAGTTGTAAGAAGAGGAACAACAACAACAAAAATTGATTGGGGGGAATTATTAACTAGCGAGCCATAAAGATTCTTGTCCCTGGGTTAAAATTTTGGGGAGACGAGGACCATGGTAAGAGTGTGTTGAGGCCTGGGGAGGGGGAGTGAGGACAGGTTGAGTGTGGTGGCCTAGAGTGTGAGGGTGGGTGTGTGGGGGGGGGGACTGGTCTGTGATAATAACTCCATTGTGGGTGTGTGGTTGTTAACGTGACCACCAGTGAGTGTGTTTATGTGTGCAGCAATCTGAGCAACGCTTCTACACATAACACCCTCCTCCCCCACCCCTCTTAACCCCCCCCCCACACATGCCTGACCCCCACTTCCCTTACTCTTCATCCACCCTGTCCTTTTCCTCCCCAACCGCAACCGCCCCCTTCGTAACCTTCCGCCCACCACAGTGTAACCTTCCGCCCTTTCCTCCACCCATCACAGTGTAACCTTCCACCCACTCCATCCACCCATCCCAGTGTAACCTTCCAACAAAACCAACGTTGTTTATTTTCAAGTAATTCGTTTTCAAACTTTCGGAGATTTAAGTAAGAGTGTTGAGGAGGGGGGGGGGCATCTTGACTATAGTGAGGTGTGTTTGATGCCAGCTACAAGACTGAGCTCAATCATCGGTGAAAAATGAACCACCACAGTACCCGTGTTTGAGAGTCCGGGACCAGGATGTGGCCGGGAAGTATGTCGCTACCGGAAAAGGTGTGAAAGGTGTGAGTAGCAGGACCACACACACACACACACGTACCGGAAACTCTTTAATCACTAGTGGCACCTGGGTGTGTTGTGACAGGTGTAGGCAATTATTAACTCATGGTCCACCGGTGTGATGGACCTTTAATAATACCATCGGTTGTTTAGGTTGGTTTGGTTCGGTAGTTTAGGTAGGTATGGTAATGTGTATTGCCAGTGATCTCAAAAACTGGTGGACCAAATTTGGGGTAACTTTGTTTACTCGCGGAATAACAACGAAGGGCGACATAATTACGTTAGATCACAGTTAGACCATGGCGAAGGTCACGGCGGAGGGTTACAGTATGGTGTTACAAAAACTTCCTTACGTATGTGCTCCAAGTTCTTGTTGGTGAAGTTCTGGACCTTTACTCTGAGTAACTGAGATTTGATTAAAGTTGTATGGTGTGCAGTCGTCCATCTTGATGTGTGAGTCTTGGTATAATCCCAGTAGACAAGTGTGTTGGTGTGTGGGGAGTGTTGTGTGTGTGGTGGATGTCATGCACGATGACAGTCCTTGACAGTGTTGAGGCGCCGCTCACAGTGTGGGTGGTCACACTATCTCACCCACTGCTGTACATCGTTAAGTATAGGTGAGTTTCTCTCTCTCTCTCTCTCAGTTGATGTTAGTTTACTTGTGTCTTTGTTAATACACCATCCACTCTTTGCTGTGTTTGTATACGTGGTATCTGTTTGTCTATCTCGGTGTAGTGGAGAGTGGTGAGGTTGATGCAAGACGTACGTTCGAGTATGTAAGGTGACGTGTGTGTGTGGTGGATGGGGCGGGTCTGTGGAGCCTCAGTGACCCTGGTTTAGATAGCACGACGGCGTGTGTCCCTGTGCTCAAGTGCTCCTGTTTATATCCGTGTCTGGAGGAGGTGAGGAGAGAGGTCGTGAGGGAAGGAGGACGTGTCTGAAAGAGTGGGAGTGTGTTTGGAGGAGGTGAGGAAGGAGGACATGTCTGGAGGAGGAGAGCAGTATTTCCGTAAACCGTTGTGTTGAAGTGTTTAAAGAAACGTCAAGTGCTTGAAGTAAGAGAGAGGGTGTACACATTTGTGACAGTAATGTTGCTTGTGTGAGACCCAGTAAAGAGTACCTCACTGTGGGCAGGAAGCTTGAGGTAGGAAGCCTGTGGAAGGAAGGGTCATGATCCTGGAGGAGAGTGCTTCTGGAAGTTAATAGTGCACTTCATCCTCCCACACACCACTCTGTATTGACTTGTGTATTCCACCTGTACCCAAGAACCGGATGCTCAAAAGGTACGTCGAATTTACTCTCACTCGTAACTGGAGGCTGAAGAACACACCTAACTAAAACCCGAGAAGAACGTCCAAAATAACATTATATCACACCCAGACTTATTGCAAGACAGGATGCTCACTTAGCACTCTGAGGTACGGGGCGGAATTAGCGTACTCAGTGTTTGTAATCTGGAAGCTGCATGGTTGTCTTAAGATTGAAACATGGCAAATTTTATAATGCGTTGTGTGCGAAGAATGATACTAACTTGCTTTTTTGACACATTTTGAGATATTTTTAAAAAGGAGAGAGAGAGAGAGAGAGAGAGAGAGAGAGAATTATAGGATTAATATTATTATTGGTGTAGATCATGTTTGTGTCCCCAAAATACCTCGTGAATAGATTTATTTTCTTGCATTGTACGTTTGATCAACACGTGAAAGCATCTGCATTATAAACTGTCGGTGTAAATGGTGCAAAGAATTAACCAAGTGTTGCCATGGTAACTGCTGAGTGACACGGTAAGAGGTGGAGTGTTTCAGGGTTACAGAAAATGATGACGTGAGAAAGTCCAGCAGTTCTACTTTATTCCTGGGCTAATCGGTCGGTACTCAACAAACACACACAATCTCTGTTTTATTGTAGTGTCTAATGATGTTGTTTTTTTTTACATGAAATTACCTTAAAAGTAACTGTGGGGAATTCATTAACCTCTTTGTTAACAGATCTGTCACCTGCATCCTTTTGTTTTTATCTTTACTGAAGGATTTTTAGGCCTTGTGTATTTTTTTAGGCCTTATATAATTTTTTAAGACATCTATATTTTTACTCCTACGTTTTTTTAAACCTTCATATTTTTGTATAACTTTGTAGTCTTTGTGTCTATGGGTTAGGATTTTTGACCTTCATGTAATTTGTTATTCATTGTATATTAAGGTCATTGTAGATTGGTCAGGTCAAGGTCACTAACTAATAGCTACTCCAGGGTCTTCATCTCCCCCCCCCCCTCCCCCTCAACAATATCCGGGTCAGTGGTGATAACTTCCGGTGACCCCCAAGCCCTCTGCACCAACCCTTATTAACGTACTTGCTCACACACACACACACACCTTCACAGTGTCCTCTTGGGGCTTGTTCGTTCCCACTACATCCGGCGGACGAGGGAGAAAGAGAGGGTTGAGTACTTTGTTTTCTTCGTGTTGTGCGTGTGTGTGTGTGTGTGTGTGTGTGTGCGTGTGTGTGTGTGTGCGTGTGTGTCTCGTAAGTATTATATTTCTAGGCCTTTGTTTATCGGTCTTGTTTACAGTTAATGAAGAGTGCAGATGCTGGGCGGCTTTGATGGCATAGTATAACAGATGGTACCGTGTGCTTGTAAGACTGTCTTCTTCTTCTTCTTCTTCTTCTTCTTCTTCTTCTTCTTGGGGTAACACATTTATATAATAAGAATAAATAACGAATCATATAAATTTCGAACAGCTGCTTACAATAACAAAACACATATGCATACCTTACTTAACCTAACCTAACTTGATCTAACCTAATCTAACCTAACTTAACCTCATAGATTATTAAGATGGAAAGGAAGTTGAATAGGCTGGATTTTGTCTACCATATCCTCCTCCTTCTTCCTTCCTTCCTTCCTTCCTTCCTTCCTTCCTTCCTTCCTTCCTTCCTTCCTTCCTTCCTTCCTTCCTTCCTTCCTTCCTTCCTTCATCGAAATTATAGTGTAACTGCTTCTTGTTTGGCTTACTGTTGGCCTAAGAGATTTTTTTGATCAAGTTTTCACTCTTTTTGTCGGTCTCTGAGAGGTGTGTGGGGGGGGGTGGGTGAGGGGGGATGATGTAATTCCTCTGTCTCTTGTTGAGTTGGAGAATTTTAATATATATGTATGTATGTATGTATGTATATTTGTATGTATGTATGTATGTATGTATGTATGTATGAATGTATGTATGTATGTAAAGACTCGCAGGTGTGTCTTTGTTTAGGGTTTGACGTGCCTGGTGGAGTGGTTGTGGCGGAAAGTTATTGGTGTGGTTGTGGTTAATAGCGGTGAGGGGAAGGAAGGAGGATGGGTTATTAAAGGGAGGGAAAGTGTGTGTGTGTCTCCTTGGTGGTTTAGTGTACGGCGAAGGAAGGAAGGAAGGAGAGAGAGTAAAGGAAGAGGAGATATTATAAAGCCCGGATAAGGATATTGAAGGAGGAAGGAGAGGTGTGGGTGGGGGGCTCTTATTAGTATGTTACTCTCTCTCTCTCTCTCTCTCTCTCTCTCTCTCTTCAAATCAGTACTTTTTGTTAGTCTTCTTATGGATGTGAGGTGATTTGTGTTGACCAGCGGGTGGATAGAGGATGTTCGGGGATGTATCGCGGTTTCGACTTGAGGTAGGTGTGTGTGTGTGTGTGTGTGTGTGTGTGTGTGTGTGTGTGTGTGTTTTGTCTTGTTTATGGCATGTTGATGAGTTTGGGAAGGTGATTTATTTTTCATTGGTGTTTCAGTGATGGTGGTGATGTTGTGGTGGTGGTGGTGATGTTGATGGTGTTTCAGGTATGGTGTAATGGTGGTGGTGATGTTTCGGGTATGGTGTAATGGTGAAGAATTCTGAGGAGACGAGAGGGTTGTTGGTGATGTTATTCTTTTGAGATGTTTTAAGATTGATGATGTTATAGTAGTCAAGATTAAAGTACAGCTGGTAAGACTTTTAGCAGATAGGGAGAGAGAGAGGGGGGTGGTGAATATAGTGACAGGGTAGTGATGATGGTGGTGCAAGAAGCCGCCTGTCCATGCAGTCAGTATATGAGACAGATGGTGGAGCAGGTGGTTACTTCATCATGGCCAAACAGCTGGTGTGTGTGAGGGCCAATTGGTCACTCCACTACCACTCAGTCAACCAATACAAACGCATAGCTATTTATTTTCATTGTTTTTATTGTTGTTTTTACAAATAAATTTACGTTACGTCATCGGAACTTTATCATTCTTGTAGTTAAAGTTAGGATGCATGGTTTAGGTTAGGTTGGGTTGGGTTAGGTTAGGTTCTATTTATGTTAACGTTATCTATCTTCCATGTGAGTTAATTATGGTTAGCAATAACTAACCATGGAAATTACCTGTGTCCGTTCATCCGTAGCGTGTCTGGATCCAGGTGAGATTTACTTAACAGCGTCGTATCGTGAATGACTTGGCTGGGGTCAGTAATCAGCATCACACACCTTTAATTACTGTACCTGAGTTATAGTTCCTGTTAGATGTACCTGTATGTATTTTGCCTCAGGTGTACTGTATATCATCTTCAGTAATAGTCTAGTTAAGTTTTATTGGTGGAAGTGTTATTATATTTAATTTATTTTTTTGATCAGTTCCTGTTAATTTGAATGTTACTGTAATGTTGTAATATCCTGTCGCTTCGTTGTTGAAGAGGTGTTAGTCTGCATAGTCATTGCAGGTCATTTGATATTTACGTAAATATGTGAATTATTCTTATTTTTTAGTAATTTATTGTGTGAATCAAATTTTTTTCCCATAAAGATGTATTTTTTTTTGCTTTGAGAAACATTCACTACTTTACTGTGTTTATCATCATTTCACTGTATTTCGTAACTTAAAAGTCAGTTTAATCAGTTTCCATCACTACTGTAAATTGTCAGTACAATGTTTACCTATAAATTTCTATCACTTTGCTATAAATTTCCAGTGCTCTATTGTAACATGTTTTGTTAGCCGTAATATAGCATTTTACGGTTTGTTTGTTACGTTCGGGTCAAGGATAGGTTCAAGAATGATCCCAGTATTATCGTTCGCTGACTAACTGACCCCTAAATATCTCTGGGAAAATCTTACGTGAAAACCATTGGACTTGGTCAGTGTTGGGGAGGGAGACGCCTGGCAACACTGTCATGTACGAAAACTTTAACGGCATGACTGTTCTTTTGACAGTTATTCGGACCCAGTTATCTTTTTTCGTACTTTGAGGCCCAACTGTCATCATTTTTGGTAAGCATTTCAGATTTAGTTATGTTTATTATATTTGTTTTTTTATATATATGTTTTGTTAATCGTGTTGGGATGTTTTTTGTGTTCATGGTTGCGGTTAAAGATGTTGATGTTTACGCGCCTCATAACAAAGCGGTCATTGACCTGGTGTTGTGTTAGATATTTTTCTTGTCTGGTTCAGGGTGTGTGTGAGTGACCCAGTATCAAGAAGCGTGACAATCATGTTTGGTGTGTTTTGTGCGTCTAAATGTGGCGGCAGTGGATGAGGTGCGAGATGGCAGACAGGGAAACCCAACAGTTCCCAGTCAGTCAGTCAGTCACCTTCTGTACTGGCAAGAGTCACCTGCGTATTTACACTAACAACACTTGGTAGTGCTGAAGTCAGGGTAAGAGATTGATGCTAACTTGTCACTTGCCGTAGATGTTCACAAGTTGGATACAAATTTGAACATTTAACATTTTCTGTACATCATGTTAAATGTAGCCTCGTATGTTTGACACTTGCCACTCTTGATGTAATATGTAAATTTTCACTGAAACTCAATCTGTAAGGTAAGGAAGCAACCCGCCTGTGAGTCAGTGCAGGCTAGCAGGCATGTTCATGTTAGTGCTCTTTGGTTACAAACATCACTGGCCTTTAGTTTTTATGGTAATATTAATTATAAAAGCAATATCATCGACTGAATGTTTATGCTGTTGATAATTGTTTTGTTGTATTGTTCATTTTCTCGTGCGTGTTATCTTAATTGTAAATCATTCTATCTTGTAGACAAGAATTATCCATTAGGCCCAACAGTCATTCTTGTGTCTGGCACACAGCCAACACACACACACACACACACACACACACACACACACACACAATAACTACATAAAAGGTTTGATGACCCTCTCAGTGAAGGTGATTCTCGCCACAGTTTAAACGCCAGAATTTTAAATCCTTTATACAGTATACTGTATAATTAGTTTGTAAGTGTGACGTATACAGAAGCTACAGTGTGTTAGTGTTGGTGTGGCAGTGTTGAGTTTTGGGTTTCCCTTGACTTTATTATCTCTGTCATTGTTGCAGGTTTGTGAAGGAGTTATCCACAGGGGTTGTTAGACTTCCGGAACAAATATGTTTTTCCCAGACACAGTAACAGGGGTCTCGGTCTGGTGTTGTTGGTACTGACATGTGTGACTAAATATTCCCGTTTCAAAAGTAGTTTATCATGTGTTTGCACCATGGTGTGTACAGCAGTTGTCCTGAACACTAGGTCATGTGTGGGCAGTGTAGGTCATCAGCAACAGTAAGTGTGGCCTTTATAAGCACCATCTGTGTTGACCATCATCTCTCTGTGTCCGCTTTCTAACGAGAACACTTGGCATTTTTTATCAGGATCACTGTTAAGAGAGTTATGATCGCTTACACTACAGTCTCCTGGTTTTCAGTTTAATATATTGTTCATTGTCTTAACAAAAGTCTACAAATAAAAGGAATACTTGTGTTTCTGCCTGGTCTGTGTATTGTACTTTATTTATCTGATAAATTTTTAGATGTTTGCAGAAGAGATTTAGTTTTCGAATATCGCAGATAATATTTAAAGTTCCTGATTTTTTGTTCGTATCGTATCGTTCACAATAAAGACGTTTACCTGTAGATATCCTGGAAAATCGAATTGTATTTATTTATTTATTTACCTTTAGCTAATTACGGAAAGGTTGAATAGGTACAGTTCCCCTGGTGAAGATCTCTCATATTAAGTTAGCGCGAACCTTATTATAAACTAACCACAGCCTGATAATACTACAGGGCCTCTCTTGTGGTGTGACGACATGTGATATACCTTTTCCCAGCTGATGGAATTTGCCCTTGAACACCATCACCACCATCAGGCAGAACCGTGTCTCACCCAATACAGTTTCTTATCTCACCTTTTCCATACGACCGTGAGGAGGGGACGGCCGACTTTCTGAAATTGTTTATGCTTTTTAGATATTGATACGTGCGTTATAATAAGTCTGTGAAACTTTCTGTCTTTACTATCTTGGTTTTATTTTTATTGGTAGTTATTTGGAGATACACGTTTGTTACTTTAGATAAATTTAGTCTAAAGCTTATTCGTTTCGTGGAATAAGGAATGTGGTATTGTGGGAACCTGCAAAGCGTTTTCTGTGCTTTTTTTTTTTTACTTGTACACAAAATTTTAATGGTTTCCAAATGTACATGATATCCAGGTGCTTATTGTATATACATCTATAAGTAATATTTCAAGCACTATTAACTCACAATTTATTTATTCTGTTACTCTGGCTTGGGATAAAAGATAACAAATCTCTGAACTAGATCCTCAAGTGTTAAAACCTTAAAATGTTATGTCAGTGTCTTAAGCACAGTATCTCGAGAGTATATTAAATCCGCCTCCGCTTTTAGTACCAACCTACCTTATGCCAGCTTGATCTTGTTGAATCTTCCTATCATGGCGGCTGTTTTGGTCTAGGATTTCCCGAATCTTGTCTCTTGAATGTTCACAATATCCCTTGATGATCGTGTTTACAGAGTCACCTGAGACCACACCTGTATGTAGTCCTCATTATCCCTACATAAATGTTTCCCTCTCCATAACAGCTGCGCCTCAACACTTAACAAAAGACGACATAATAAACACTGCTTCACGGGTGTTGCTTCACGGGTGTACACAAAGCGGCGTTCCTCAGTGCTGTCAAATGCGTTCTTTAAAGTTCACACAGCTGACATGAAGACCACCGTTACGTGTTGGAAATATTATAGTGTGGTGTGTAGTTGTTGTTATGGTTATTTATTTATTTTGGGTTTAGAAAGATCGACTGGGTAAATGTTGTGATAATATTGTGTTTGCTGTGTGTTGATAATCCAGGTGTTGGTAGTGGTGTGTGTGTATGTGTTGATGATGGTGGTCGGTGTTGTTGGTGGTGTTGATGTGTATGATTGGGCGTAGGTGTTGATGATACTGTTGTGTTAGTGGTGTTAATGATGTTGATGTACGGTAGGTGTCGTGGTGGTGGCCGGGTGGACCTCCCCGGGGTGCCTGGTGTGTGTGTGTGTGTGTGTGTAGTCACGATGACTCATACCCTCTATGGCGACCCTCCCCTACCTGCTTCCCCCTCTTCTGTCCCTTCCCCCACTTTAACGTTCTGAATACTCTCTCTCTCCCCCTCTTTCAGCACGGGTGGTGGCTCACTGTCAGCTGTTCTCTCTCTCTCTCTCTCTCTCTCTCTCTCTCTCTCTCTCTCAGCACGGGTGGTGGCTCACTGTCAGCTGTTCGAGTACCTCCACTAATTGGCTCTGTTGGTTATTCAAGATGTGAAATGTCCTGGAAATTAATGAAGGATGATGGAGGTAAATGAGTCACTTATATGTAATGTTGCTAATAATAATACCGGTAATAATATAATAATGATAGCAATAATAATAATACGTTTTACTACTACTAATACTGATAACGAAAATCACATATGAGGAGTAATCGTAATATAATTTACTTAATAATAACTTTCCGAAACGTGGGTAACCTTTACACACCTCAGTCTCTCATTACAAGTTACTAAAGGAGTCAGATATTGTAAAAACACCGCAGATATGACGATACTGTACAGACCAGTGAGACGGGAGACAGTTATAAAAAGAGTAAAATTTAATTAGTTTTAATACTTATGGTAATAATAAAAGAGAATTTTATTAGTACTCCCTCAATAGATGTTTAATGTAAGTCATATGTATGTTGTGATCCAGGTGGCCAGAGGCAGTTTACCGCGTGTAATAAAACTGTAAATTTGTCTGATTATCTGCCATTCAAATTATATATACCTGTATATATATATAACCCGTGAACATATTGACCGGGTGATCTAGGTGGCCAGGTGACCTCGTATTAGAAATTACACGTGTATAAACCTTGATTATATTGAGAGCGTGACACCTGTGAGGACTGTAAACATATCAAGGTTAACGCCATACAGTGCACAGAGTTGACCACTAGTACGGGTTTCTCTCTGGCTTTAAAGATGTGTGTGTGTGTGTGTGTGTGTGTGTGTGGGTGTGTGTGTGTGTGTGTGTGTGTGTGTGTGTGTGTGTCCGACAGTGAGGTTACTTGAGTTATGTCTCCCGGGTGTTGTATGAGGGGATGTAGGGTCTTGTGAGTTAAAAGATGTGTGAGTTAGTCTCCTGTTGGATGAGTAATCGATTAGGGTGGCCAGGTAGGGTGGGTGAGTCTCTCTCTGTCTTTTTGCCGTGAAGTGTTAGGTTAGATAAATTAGGTTAGGTTAGATTAGGTTGAAATTAGGTTGAAAGTAGGTTAGGTTAGGTTGAAAGTAGGTTAGGTTAGATTAGGTTTAAGGTAGGTTAGTTTAGTTTAGTCTGTAAGTTGGTTGGTAGGTAGGTTCGGTTAGGTTAGGCAATAGGTCGGTTAAATTAGGTTAGGTTAGGCTGTAGGTTAGGTTAGTCTGAAGATAAACTGATAAGATAGACTATTTACTTTTAGCTACGTCAAGAGCTTTGCGAATATTAATCTTAACTGACTTCCATACTGAGATAACTTTTTTCTTCACCCCGACCAGCCAACTCACTTTAGATAATATGATAAAATATGACTCGTGAAGATTAATAGGTGAAGAGTATGGGGGGGGGGGAGAGGTCACCGTGTATAACTAGAGACGGTGAGTTTATTTCCTAGCTAAAAATATAACATGACCAAAGAAGACATTCAAAACTTAACCTAAACTAACCTATTCTGGACCCCCCCCTCCCGCCCCCATGATACCCTAACGTACCTATAAGTTCCTGAAATTATATAAATGGATCATCTTAAGAGTGTGGTGTTGTCAGTCACTCTTATGTCACAGTGTCGTAATCCTGGATATTTTTATTTTGTTTTTGTCTCGGGGGGGAAATTGTCTGTTATTATATGTTGAGAATGGAGACAATGCAGGGCGCTAATTATCTTGGTGTTCTTCTTTATCTTCTTCCTTATTTCTCTCACCTCCATCTTCTCCTTACCTTATTCTCGTCCTCTCCTTTACCACCTTTTGCTCTTCCTTTCCCTCCTTCTCCTCTTCCTCTCCCTCCTTACTTCCTCCCTTCCTTCCTTCCCTCCTCCTCCTCCTCTCCTCACCTCCTCCTCCTCTCCCTCTCCTCACCCCCACTTACCACCAAGACGAATGAGCCACTCGGTAACTGGGTCTTTAAGTCAATTAAATTTTGATATGATGTGAACTTCCTCCATCAAGTTTCGCTAATGACGTTCACCACCGCCGTGTGTGTGTGTGTGTGTGTGGTAGATAAAGGGGGTGAAAGTAGATTAGAGGGGGAGGAAATGGGGTTTAAAGATGGGAAAGGGGTACTGGGTGACTGTCGGGGGTACTGGGTGTCTGTCAGGGGTACTGGGTGACTGTCAGGGGTACTGGGTGACTGTCGGGGCGGTGGTCGTGGGCGACTGTCGGGGGGTACTGGGTGTGTGTGGGGGGCACTAGGGATATACTGGGCGACCATCTTGGGGGGTACTGGGTGTCTGTCGGGGCGGACCGGCGGAGGTACTGGGTGTCTGTCGGGGCGGACCGGCGGAGGTACTGGGGGACTGAACCAGAGTTATTTATAACGCTTAACCTGTGTTATTTAGGGTCGATTAAGATTATATATTTAAGTTTGTTTTGGTTACAGTAATGCAATGTTTATTTTTTGTTTTAGTTCCAGTCACAGTTTGTACCTGAGGGGAAAAAAATCAAACCAAGGATGAACAAGATTTGGATATCGACTGCATTAAGCCCATCCTGAGAAAAGAATCCCTCACTCGCGAAGAAAACTGTTTGTCAGGTCAGCAAAGGCAGTTGTTTGACCTGATAAACTCGACCTCTATTTCGTGTTCGAGGGGTTAGCCAGAGTGACACCAGGTGAGTCTCTCTCTCTCTCTCTCTCTCTCTCTCTCTCTCTCTTTTTATGTGCGACAGCTCCCACTCTCCCACCCACTCCCTCTCCCTCTTAACGTGGTACAGCCTCCTTCCCTTCCATCTTTCCTACCTCCCTCCCTCTCTCCCTTCCCACCCATCCTGTCCCCCCCCCCTTTCCCTCTCTCTCTCCCTCCCTCCTTCCTTTCATCCCTTTTCCTCCCTCCCACTTTTTTTACGTATGCTACCCTTCCCTCCCCTTCCCAGGCTTGAACCGGAGTTGCCCCTCACACCCAGGCGCTAACAAGGGCTGTAGCTCGAGTGTAGGTGTGGCAGTCAGGGTTGTGTTGTGGGAGAATTTGTATAGTTTTGTTTACATGTGCTGGATGGAAGCTCTGTGTACATTGACAGTTCATTCTAGCCTTTATCATATGGTATAGTGGTAGAAGAATGTAAGTTGAGGGCCTATTAGACAACGTAGGAGATTTGTGTGGTAGGCTGACGTGTTTTAATGAGGTGTTAATACAGGTGGGGTGACAGGTGTGGGTGTTAATGACCCAGGTAGGTACTGTATACATGTTTATCCCTGTGCCTGGTACTGTGTTAGCCTGGCTCTCTCTTCACACAGTACAAACTTATTTTTAGCGAGTTTTTTTGTAATTATTTCCGGTGTTGATTTATTAATTGGTGTATCTTATTTAGTTACTGTATTATTATTATTATTATATTATTATTATTATTATTATTATTATTATTATTATTATTATTATTATTATTATTATTACCATCACCTTGCCCGGAACTATAGGGTAGGGTATTGTTCTTGTTCCTGTCCGTCTGCCTGCCTGTCCGTCTGTCTGTCCGTCTGCCTGTCTGTCTGTCTGTCTGTCTGTCTCGAGAACTTGGTATTTGATCAATATGTGACAAACTTTTGAGGAAAATCGCGCCAAAATTCACTAAATGTTGCCATGGTAACAAAATTTTTCGAGTTATAAGAAAACGTAAGAACTTCTATACGTGTTTGATTTATTTAATGTTATTATATTTGGGCCAGAGATAGTTAACGACCCTTTATCAAGTCATGGTAATTTGATTTTCCTCTCGATTTCAATTCATGTTTACTGCGTCAAGTATCGGGTGATTTCAGACGTAAAATTTCCCTTTTTCCCCCGATTTATATAGCAACGTTTCCCCCTGCTGAGAGTGAAGGTTTGATAAAAGTTGGTCTTTACGCTCAATATAACCCGAAAAAATGTAAATTTGAAGTTTATTTCACGGCGTAGCGAGTGTCCCGCGGGAGTAAATGTGTGGCTTTCCGTAATAAATAGCAGTATAAAGGAAGTAGGAGAAGATAATGGCGCTATGTTCCTTCACTGGTTTAGTGTGGAGTTTTGGCTGTTGGCTCTTAACTACTCTCTGGTGGTGGTGATTGGCGATAGTTTGTGAGGGAGCGACCATGCCGTCCCGGTGTTATGTGATTAGACCTTTGATGATTTGTGATATTTTACGATTTATTTGTTTCTGGCAATATTAGTTTAGAAAGAAGTTATTACTAGTACTTTGTTTGGGGTCTATGTTAACGTGTTTTTACAGTGATGCCGTGTGTAATAATTCCACATAATAAGGTATTTTTGTCCATTTCAATTTGATATTTAGTAAATGTGTGGTTGGTGTTTTGCGGTACATATTTTCGGCATCAAAGCGACCGATTGTCTTGGTGTTCTTAAAATTCTCGCCAGAGGGCTTTTGCGTTCAAGGTGTTCCCAGCCCAAGATCAACAAACACCTTGAGATATTTAACGGCGGCGGCGGCGTTCACATATCTCCAGAGGCTTTGGGCAGTTGAGAGTAGACAAAACACTTCATAGATAAATTTCAGGAAGATATCAGGGTCAAGCACACAGCGGAGAGGGTTGGTCCAGTGGTCTCAAGGAGGAGATTAAAGGCTGGATTAAGAGGTGAGTTTACAGTAGATTCTGGAGTCTCAGATTTACTTAATCATTATGGGATTTAGTTGAGGTGACCAAGGCTTTATTTCAGATAGTATAGACGTGTTTGTGAGCCACAGCTGGTTGACCGGGAGATGTTACCCTAACTGTGTGTGACAAAGTGATGGTTGTGTTGTGGAAACCTATACTAACTGATATCATTGTCTAGTTGACGTCATGGTGTGCAGGAGTTGATGTGGTGGGTCCGGGAAACTTAGTACAGAGGGAAACCGGAGAACCTGAGGGAAACCTGTGATGTTTTGGGTAGTGTCAGGCTAGATAACACCCTTCTCACGTGTGTCCTGGGCTCGAACCCATAACATAGTTGTGGGAAATATGCGCTTTGTCGTTTCGTGGACTGTAAAAGTTGTCTCTCAGAAATTGTATTTTTGGCTACGCTGTGAAGGTGATCATATGATATCTGCTTTGTTGGTGATAACTTGGTGGAGAAGAGAGGAGGTGTATTGGGTGTGAGGTACTGTAGTGGCGGCCGGGGAGCGTGAGAGGAGGTGTATTGGGTGTGAGGTACTGTAGTGGCGGCCGGGGAGCGTGAGAGGAGGTGTATTGGGTGTGAGGTACTGTAGTGGCGGCCGGGGAGCGTGTGGGCTTATCGTTATTATTATTTAAGTTAACTCACTTTTCCCACAATGATCCTCGCCTTGAGTTCAACTTCTACCTCGCTCGTGTGGGTGTTGTCTTCACTACACCGTCAGCCCTTTGTCTTCTACAGCCCTTCTTCCTCCCGTAATTTACTCGCCTTTTTTCCACATTGTTTTGTCGTTCGTGCAGCACCCATGATCCTTGAAGAACCCGATGTCATTACTGGTATAGGTAGTTCCAGGGCAGACATAGCACCTTATATGGCTGTGTCAACGAGCATAACTTTGAACATAACGATGATAGGAAGGCTCTTGTATACAGTTCACAAACATTCATAACTAGGATATTTTTTTCCCACTTTACGGGAGATAAAAGAACGATGGAGGGAAGGGGGTGAATTGTTGACGCCTTTGTGTCGTAGTTTAAGTGAAGCAATTAGATGTTTTTTCTCACATTGTTAGTTATGGGGAGGTGTCTTTAGGTGTGAACCAACCAGAGAGTAGGTGGGTCTTGGGTGGTGTTAACGGTGTGGTGTGAGGGTGGTGTTAACGGTGTGGTGTGAGGGTGGTGTTAACAGTGTGGTGTGGAGGTGGGAGGTTTTGTTGTAATATTCCCACCATCTCCCACACCCCCGTGAACCTGGTCTCCCCCCCTCCAGGTCTTCCGTATCGCCCCCCCCCCTCCCCCACCTCCCCCTATAACCAAGGAATTACTTACTGCTAACGTTGATGTGTTGCCATTATAGGGTGTGTTGGCTAGCTATTTCCACATTAAGATCAATTACCATAATGTACGTGTCTTGCGGAGAGAGAGGTGTGTGTGTGTGTGTGTGTGTGTGTGTGTGTCCATTTATGTAATCGTTGTAATATTCTTAAACATAATTATTATCGATAGTTTCTTATGGATAAAATCGTCTATTTTCTGATGCTTACGGTACATCTTCTGTCTGTGGGAAACATTAACTTCTCTCTGTTTTATCAGGTATGTGTTTCAAGGCGTTCACAGTTTATACACAAACACTTGGATGACCAGTCGTCCGTAAATCGATCCTGCTTGGCCGTAACGGATGTTCAACCACAATTGAGTTTACCCCAGAGGGCAGATGTTCAGTGCGGACGGCTGTACGGTATTGATTGTGTGTCACTGACGATACATGGTGATGGAGGGTTGTGAACTGCGATGAACATTATACTTACCAACTGATACATCTACCTCTATGTATATTTATCTGTTGTATTAACCTATTTATCAGTCTTCCTGCCTTTATCATCATCGTTCCGTTAAAATCTCTCCCGGTATATATAGGTACTTTCCTCCCTACTTACCTACCGGCCTCATCAGTACCCCAACACACACACACGCCCCCCCCCCCACCCCACCCCCTCACTTCATCCCGTGGAGGAAGTGGTGTGAAAGAAAAGGATTAAAGGAGTGTGGGAATTGAGGAAGGAGGGGCGGATGGGGGGGTGGGGAAGGGAAGGAGGGGAGGTTAGGGAGACGGAGAGGGGAAGGTGGATGGGGAGGAGTGGTGGAGTGGGATGGCTGAAGGATAGGGGACGTGGTAGGGTAGGAGAGAGAGTGAGTCAGTAAAGGGGTAAGGAGGGCGGGTGGGCGGGAGAGGAGAGCAGTACGGGCGTGGGTGTGCTAGATTTACCGCTGCTGGTGACCTTGGTGGCATTTGTTTGAGTTGACAAAGATCCGACAGTGGGAAGGTCCTGTGATGGAAGGGGACGTTTATTGTAGGGACGCTAGGATGGATGGGCACTAGGATGGAAAGGGGTAGTCACTTGGGTATGGATGGGAAAGGAAGTGCGTACTTGGCTATTGGTCAAATGGCAGTTTAGTAAATGGGTCACAGAGTATGGGAGTGTGTGTGTGTCTGTCTGTGTGTGTGTGTTTTGATGGGGGGGGAAGGACGCAGCGTGCACATTTTAATTAAATTCGTTTATCTGATACCCAATGATAAAGGTGAAGGACTTATTATTGCGTGCCTTCGAGAGACTGATATTAAGACTCGTATCCCGTTCACTCTCTCTCTCTCTGTCAGTTCCCGAGTCTGTTATTTTATTGCATTTCCGGCCGGGTTTTGTGTGCATTATTTTGAAGATTTTTTTCCGGGTGCGTCCTGATATTTATTTACTGTACTTTATTATTACTCTTTCTTATTATTTTTGGGTATGAGAGAGAGAGAGAGAGAGAGAGAGAGAGAGAGAGAGAGAGAGAGAGAGAGAGAGAGAGAGAGTAATATTGACCAGATAATGATACCGAGAGGAAACATTTGCTACGAAGGAAACTAATATTTTTTTTAAGTATGGTCAAAATTACTCATACATACATACATACATACATACATACATACATACATACATACATACATACACACGTTTACTGTAGGTCAGACTAAGATATTCTAAATGCA